ACGTGTACACTGCTGTACTGTAGTACATTGTCAGTCGAAAAAACTATCCATTTTAGTCACGTATAATATTATAATTATTGTACATGTGTTGTTGGTTGACAGATGGAGGACTACCGTGTTCGTAAACAGTGACCTTACTAATGCTAGTACAAGTAGTAGTACAACCATCCGTGGTTGGTAGAGCCCCAGTCTTGCGACCATCTGAACCGTATGGGTGTTAGCCTCTGTTCTGACCCTCTTTATTCTAGGGAGTTGTCTTGGTCTTCTTGTTGTCGTTGTTGTTGTTGTTGTTGTTGTTGTTGTTGTTGTTGTTGTTGTTGTTGTTGTTGTTGTTGTTGTTGTTGTTGTTGTTGTTGTTGTTGTTGTTGTTGTTGTTGTTGTTGTTGTTGTTGTTGTACCGTCATTCGTGTATTCTTTGTTCGCTCCTGGATGTCTTTTTGATACTCAGTCCTCATAAACTTTGTAGCTTTAGAGTCCCATTCGGGACGGATACGAGAATATTTATAATCGTGGGTTGGTTAAGGAACATGACTGAGATACGAGAGGTACCTGGTTCAAGTCCTGCCTGGGAGCGGTTTTTCCAGCCGTGCTGCTACCCGCAGTCAAGTGGGAACTTGTGGCCAGGCACAAAGGGTACATGGATGCAGCTAATGGGGTCGTTCTCGGCACTTGTGCCTGTGGTTGTGAGACGTATGAAACCTATTTTTCAATTGTTCTTCTCTGCACGTACATGTAGATCTAAACCTTATACTTTTTGGCAATATAATTATAAGATCAACTGTCCACTCATATTCATAACAACAGCAAAAAAAGTTCAACGTTTTCTTATGACGTTCATAAGTGGAACGCCGTCACATAAAAATGTAATAACTAACACACATTTATAATACATGTAGGCATGTACAGGTGCATGTACATGTACATGTAGGTAATATGGTTTCAGGGAGAAATACAGCAGCCAGCAAGTACCCTATTAAAATATGAATAAATAATAATATTAATAAGTACAAAACAATTAATGAGTACAAAAAACGAAGTTTACCCCTTCCCAGTGTGTGAATATACAATGTACATGTACATGTACATGTAGTAGGCACTGGCGGATTATGCCGGCATAATTATTGGCATAATTATTGGCATAATTTGGTGGTTGAAAATTTGGAGCATAATTTGGCATCCTTTCGGAGGTAGGAGCATAACTGCATGATTGTACCACAGTTCTAGTAATAGTAGTATGTAGTCGACCCAATTGTGTACTCTTGGCAGTCTTGCTACAATGCACATGGTCAGTGCTGGTGGTCTGCATGGTAAAGGGTTCGGAGGTCATGCAGATAGTATTTTCAATGAAAAGCAGGGTAGAAATCGTGGCAATACATTTTTTGTGCTCGAGCTCGTCTTCTTCAAAGTTCTTTCTCACCCTGATACAGTACATGTAGCAGAAGATGCGAGTGAATCAGCCTTTATCAGGTATCCCCGGGGCGGACGAGATAGTGACGGGTAGTCCGCAAAACTTCGCGTACATGTACACTATGCTTGTTACGAAGTCATGACGTCTGGATCTTAGCAGCTATGACTGTGCATGCTATGGATATTGCTCTAATTGAGGTATAGTTGATGTTCGGTCACGATGGAAGGAGAGCTGGAGCTACGGAAGAGATGAGCTGATTACGATAATTCGCAGGGTTAGGGTGACATCGGTTGGACGAGTATGACGATTACGAAGACAGTTGAACATGACAGTTTTCAAAGGTAACTCAAACTAATTTGGCAATGGAAAAATCTTTCAAAGCAAAAGAAGTCAACTAATGAATGGAAGAAGTAATGTTTCCCCTTTTCCAGGTTGCTCTCTAGCATGCATGGACACTTTGGTATGGGGATACTCATGTATTTTGTTGTACTTGTGTGTGAATGTGACCACTTGCAAGTACGAAAAAGGTACAATTTTCCGAACGTTTGGGCTCCATAAGGGGTCGTCCATAATTATCGAACTTTTTTCACAAAACGAAATAATTTCGTTATGGGGTGGGAGGGGGTTGACCAATTTCGTTTCAGAAAACATTGATACAATGTGCATGCCCATAGGAGCAGTTACACACTTGCAACTTTTGTTGTATTATGCATGCATATGTCAACACTTTGTTTACGTTCTGAGGGGGAGGGAGGGAGGGGTTGGGTCTAAACTAAAAGAATTCGTTTGGTGAAAAATGTTCGATAATTACGGACGGCCCCTAAGTACAACAAAGTTTACTATGTATCCCCGCGTGCCAAAGCATAATATGAGGATTTTGCGAGCATAATGCGAGAATCCATGAAAGCATAATTCCATGATTTCGCGGGCATAATCCGCCGGAGCCTAACATGTAGTGTTCATGTACATGTACGCTGTACATATACATGTACATATAATGTATGTGAGAAAGGCAATGGCAGATGAATGTGATACTGTGTGGATGTGTGGATGAAGGTAATCTGTTTACAAAGCACAGGGTCACGAGTTCGAATACACAGCTTCCAATGGCACCTATGCATAAAACATGGCGGCCAGGTCGCCATCGCGACTTCGCACCTTTGTGCGGGGCAACTTGCTCGACGCGAGGCTCTCCTTTGTTTTCAGTCGTTGCAGTGGAAGACAGTTTCGATATTAGTTGACAGGAAGATGGCAGTCAGTCAGGATTTTTCCCAGCTCACCTTGAACCTTCTGAAGGTGAAGTGTGGAGAGTATGGTCTCAAGAAGTCGGGAAAGAAAGCCGATCTAGTTGCGAGGTGAGTTGTTTTCTTCCCACAACAAAATCTTATTTTTTTGAAATTATTTGTGAATCTGAGTTTGTTATTTATCTGCTCGTGTCGTTTACAGACTTGCTCAGCATTTCTCTGAAGGCGACGGTGATGGCAAGGAAGGGCCACCTCCGCCAGCTGCAGCGCTTGCTGTTATTCCCCACGACCCTCTGGATTTTCCTGTTACTGGGTGGCAGCCGATTAAATCTGCGAGTGGAAGGCTACTCTCCCTGTCGTTCTCCATGCAAACTATGGTTTCTTATTTCGTGGACACTATGACCAGCGATGGACCTGCCAAGAATTTCAAAGCGCTTGCTGCCACTGATAGCAAGTCAATTCGTCTGTATCGAGCAGGTTATGTCCAGAAAATCGAACTGATGAAGGCCCACAGCCGTGTGTACTACCGTGCCCGCTGTCAGCCTGAAATGAAGACCAAAGCTGACTACAAACTTCGGCTCGTTGCTCAGTGTGACTCAGGATCTGCCACCAGTGTTGTTGGTGCTCAGTGCACTTGTCCTGCTGGCAAGGGTGTTACTGCCAGTTGCAAGCATATAGCTGCACTGATGTATGGCTTGTCCGAGTTCACTCTGCTTGGGTTTAGTGACGCTCCGACGTGCACGGACATGCTGCAAAAGTGGAACCAGCCTCCTGCAGGTGCAGGTAAAAAGAGTGAGCCCATGCTGGTTCAAGACATGGAGTGGCGTAGAGGTGGCAGTACCACTGACAAATCTGCGCCAAAGAAACGTAAGCATTCTGCTGCAGAAGTACTTGACCCTCGTGCTGTTGCAAAGCGGATGGACTTTGCCCGGCGTGTGGAGGAATACGCCAACTCAACCATTCACTCCAACTCCATCCACCTAGCATTGCCTCTTGTTGCTGGTAGCTCAGGATTTGCTGCTAAGCAGAAGGAGGACAGGTTGCACAGAGCCCAAGCGCAGAAAAAGGAGAGACTGGCTAGGGCAGGGGAACAGAAGGACAAGTGGCAGGTTGAGCACAGCAGATCAGGTGATGTGACACCTGTGCCATCTGACTGCGAGTGGCTAACTGAGGACAAGCAGATGCTGTGGTACGAGTCCAATGTCATACTTACTTGTGAAGAAGCCAATGCCCTGCAAGAAGCCACTGCATCCCAAACAACAAGTGAACTCTGGAGGAATGAACGAAAGAAGCGTATTACAGCTTCCATTGCCCATACTGTAGCTCATCGACGACCTCAGACTGACCCGTCATCCCTCATAAAAACTATCATTGATCGGCCGGCGTTCACCACTCCTGCAACCAGATGGGGGATTGATCATGAAGAAGAGGCACGATGTGCCTACGTAGCCCACCAAGCCAAGTCTGGCAAGCTGATAGATGTTGTTGCATGTGGCTTATTTGTGCATGCTGATGAATGCTGGTTTGGTGCCAGTCCCGATGGCATTGTTAGGGATGGTGATACATCACTTTTGCTCGAGATTAAATGCCCGTTTGTTGCTAGAGACCAAAGTCTAGCAGAGGTAGCTGGGTCTACTGCATCATTTTGTTTGTCCAACAAGGATGGTGTGCTTTCTCTCAAAACAACACATGCCTACTATACACAAGTGCAAATGCAGCTCTTTGCTGCAGGCCTTCAATTTTGTGACTTTGTAGTGTGGTCTCCCTGCAATGATCTTTTTGTTGAGCGCATTTCATTTTGTGAAGTGCATGTCAAGAAAACTCTCGCAGCTTGCCGAACATTTTATTTTGATCATGTTCTCCCGAAACTGGCTCTGTGATCAAGTTTCTTGGTAATAGATATATTCCTCGTCATCTGAGATGACCATTGCTCACTTTGCTCCAGTTCCTGTAGTCTTGACTGTTTACATTCTTCCCTGATTTGTGGCAATCTTTTCTTCTGTAAGTGCGTCTGAACTGTTCTATACGCTGCACTCTATGTTCTTTATTATAGCTTTTTCTGTTCTGCCCTGTTCTGTAGCTCCTTCTTGATATAAACGCCGTGATTAGATGGTGGATAGTTCCATCAGCTACCGGCTTCCTGCATTTGTACATGATTAGGTAGTGTTGTATACATGTACCCAAGACGGTGGAACTCTGCTGTAAACAGTGCGTTATAGTAAATTATACTGCCATTACTGGTAACCACTACAAAAACGGCACGTACAACTGGTTTACAATAGCTCGCCATTCCGTGTTACAACGGAGTTCAAAAAGGCATGAACGTTACATGAGTATTCGTATTTACTTCAAAGTAAGCGGCACTTGCAGCAGTCACAGGCCACATTTCCTACCTGGTGAACAGCACAAACAGACAAATAGGAGCATCACTACTTCTACTTCGAAGTACGAAGTCCTGAGTGAAATAAGCATCATTGTGTAGGGGCACCATTACTCACAACATAACACAAAGAAAAGAGGGGAAGAAAATACCGAGGCCACGTAGGAATATCGGCATGCGCAAAAAGCTTTCAACAGAGCGGCCTGGTCATAAAGCAAGAATTACATAGACGCCCATCTTCATCATCATTCTGACACATATGGTGGTAGCGTGAGTTACAAGACCTACAAACTCTAAGAAGTGGGCCATCTGAGCGCTTGCAAAACAAACATACGGGAGTGGTCACATAGGCAGCAGCGGCTACAGAAGAAGATGGCACGCTGATAGCAGCAGCAGTAGCAGCTACAGGAGATGGCACGTTCGTAGCAGCAGAAGTAGCAGCTACAGCAGATGACAACTTGGTAGCAGCGGAAGCAGCAGCAGAAGCAGTAATGGCAGGTGAAAGAAATGTGCCAGCTGAAACAGCCACTGCAGAAATGTTTGCATCTGGTGATATCTGGGCAACTTCTGCAGCAGAGGAAAAGTGTGCAGACTGTGTCGATGGCTTACTAACAGGCGGAGGTACCAGGGGCTCCATGTAGTTAGTGAGGAATGCACACACAAATATGATCTGCTCAGCCAAAGGGCACAACACGGAAGATAAGAAGTGAGTTATCCTGAAGTTCTTGATCCTTTCCATTGCTCTCTCCACATGAATACGCACGCTAGCAATACGCCGAGTTTCGATCACCTCTTCTTCATCAAGCTGATCTCGAGAACCAAGAAACGGGGGTATGTTGAGATCGACACCCTCCGGTAGCAGATCGGCAATGTCGAAACCACGGTCGGCCATGATGGCATCACCCTTCTCCATCAACTTCATTAGCCCACTTCGCTTTGTCAGTTTCTTATCAGAAATGCGCCCGCCATAAAGAGGAGACAGAAACGATATTGCACCGGTAGGTGTCACACCAACTAACAGTTTGAAAGTGTTCCTGTTTTTGTAATTCGACCAGGTGGCTGCTTGTACAGTTGGGTTGGCTGGCTTCTCAATGGGAAACTCTGTTGCGTCAATAATTACCCGGGTGCGTGGGTACTTGTCTTTGAAGACGTCGGGCATGTAGCGATCAATCAGAGCCCGGCTCGGCCAAATGTCCACTTCTTTCATAGAGAAGTACATGCAACGAATGTACGTTGAAAATATTCGGGACACCGTGGATTGATCTATTCCGAATCGCAGTGCTAAATCTGACTCAGGGAAAGCATGCCGAAGTTTGACAAGGGTCAATAGCAACTCGTCTTCATACACCAATGCTCTTCGTCTGCCACGGCTGTCCTGGCCAAGGAAATCAGCTGGCACTTTAGTAGCAAAGCACATGTCTTGACATCCACACCGCAACTGATCCAGCAACAAGTCAAACGCCAGAGAACTCAGGCCCGTGTAAAACAGTACAATCTTGTTGTCATGTCGGATGTTCGAGTAATGGAGTTGGCATTTCCGCAAAGCTTCTTCCGATTCATCCAAATTGTACAAGGCCTGCTCCAACTGGGACCGCAACTTAGCCACTTGTGCTTCCAAAGTCTTTATTTTGTTCTCTTGGAGAACGGGAACTTCACCATAATCATGGTCAGCTAAAAGTGTTGCAGCCTCAGGCACCGATTCATCTGTGACTGGTAAATCAACATCGTCATCAATATCAATCGCTTCAACGGGTCGACTGACTTCGCCTGTCGAAACACGGCTCTTCCTCTTCACTACGACGGCTTTGTCCAAGAAACGGGAAGGTGGCTCGTCCTCCGTCACAGGTCGACCACCAGGAAAGTGCACCCCACAGACATACGAGTTTCCAGAAAGAGGAGTGTTGACTCTTGGTATTTTGGCAAGCCACTCGGCCCTGATATGCCGGCGTCGATCCGAATCTTTAGGCAAACGATGAAAAGATACAGCTTTACAGACCTCTGCTGTTCCTCCGCAGCCAACACGAGCCAGATCTGATCCACATAGACGACGCTTCACAAACACTTTTCGTCCTTGCGAGTTCGCATCATCAGTTTCAAACAAACCAAACTTGCAGCTGCTTTTACGATTTGAGCAGCCAGGGACGATACAATGAGCGTTGCTTGGCATGATTGTGTCAGCTGCTTACTGATCTCTAACTAACTTGCTACTTATACACAACAGCAAACTGTGACAACCCTTGCCTTCCAAGAAGGAAATAAATGTCTTGCTTTGAGTTTGATTCTTCACCAACACAAAGGAAAAAAATTTGTACATTGTACTTCAGCCTCAGCAAACGCGAAGCAGGTACGTAGGGCTCTACGATCATCAGAGTTTCCACGCGTGCATGCATGAGACTGCATGCTGCGCTGCGTGGTGCAAGTACAGTGTCGAGGTTGTGAAGTTGCCCCGCACAAAAAACCGCGGGAAAATTATGCATAGGTGCCATTCCTGCTTGAAGAAACGTGCGCAACGCGTTAACGAGTAACACAAAACCAGGAATCATCAAACACCGACATTCTGGACTGGACACCAAATGCTTTTAACACTGCCGACTTCCTCTCGTCAACATCAAGCGCCTCCTCATCATTACTCTCATCCTCCACCTCCACTCCAATATTGGCAAAAGGCCTTCGAAGTCTGACGTCACAGCTTCTTGACAACGCGTATTATGTAACTAGTAAGTACGTTAAAGGGAAACTGAACGCCAAAAATAAGTATGGCTTATCCGAAGGAGAATTGGGCACTGATTCCGATGAGCTATGTCTCGAGCCGATCAGAGAAGAGGAACTGTGTCAAATTTCATAAATAACACCTCCCATATTTGGAAATTGGCCTTGATGACGTGCGTACTGCTTAGCTGTCACCATGCTGTGCATGTTCAGCAGTGTAATTGAATGGAAGGAAACAATTACTTTGGTGTTTTGCAGCTCTGTTTCGTTCCCTGATGGTAACCAAATCTAGATGTAGGAATCTGTTGAGCAGGAGAGTGACACATGTCTTCCCGAAGGCTGTCCAGGCTGCAGTGGTGATGAAGAAGACACGATCATCACCCCGAGATCGATCGTAGCGAATTGGAAAACTCATGGTGAATTTGCTTCCACTCCAAGGCAATGTCGAGGTATGAAGGGTGCTTGTACTGCCTTCCAAAGTGAAGAGGAGATGAACATGGCTTTGCATAGCTGTTGTTCTATGCCAACTTACCTACTCTTGCTGGTACCGTAGTGGCATATTGCAAATTTCGTGGACGAACAACTCTAGTCACTAGTGGCTAGTGAGCAACACTAACAGGTGAGATTTTTCAATTCGACAAAAATTGTTTTTGTTTGAGAACTGACAGTGGCAGTCATTAGACTCAGCAGGTGTCTTTGCTGCTTCTTTCCCTTCATTGGTAGGGTTGTGCTTGAATAGTACAAGTGCTTGAAGTAAAATAAAATAAATAGAACATGTGGAACATAAATCTAATCAAGCATCAGTACATGTATTGCGAAGTTCAACTTCAAAGCACATGAAATCACAATGATCACGAAGTTTATGTAATCAGGAGTACACCCTGTGTTCAACGAGCACATACACACATGCTGTATTGCGCACACATATGTACACATGTGCGTGCACCCCCACCCCATCCCACAGACACACGCATGCAGCGCACACATCCATACACATGTGCGTGTACCCCCCCCCCCCACACACACACACACATTCCTACCCATACACATGTGCGTCCCCCCCCCCTCCCACACACACACACGTGTGCACATACCTCAGACCTGCCCATCGCGGAAGCGATGATAGCGAAAAGCTATGTTAGACATAGCAACAGATACACAAACACACACGCACGAACACACACACACACACACAAGATACGTGTAAGTGTACATGGTCTTCCTGGTGCAGATGCTGAGCCAGCACAATGGAAAATACCTCCATCAAGATGCTTGATCAAGTGTTGTGATAATGGCACTGTTTGTTTGTTTTTACAAAGAAGTGTGGGAAAGATTACAATGCATTGTAATTCATAATATTGTTCTTTGCCTTGTACTGTGCAGACCAGAATGCTTCGCTATCAACTCCTGGCTTTCCATCGGCATGGTGTTCAGCTGCAGCGGCATCTGGTCCGGGGAGTTCAAGTTGCTGGATGGCTGCACTGACACAGGATGGGTTTGCGTTGGCAATGCGATACGGCAGTCATCCCACATCACGAGCTACATGTTTATGTAATTTATATTGTCGCTCGTCCAGCAACGTCAAGGCTCTGCATGTAAACACAGGAGAACACCATAATACTACTCAGGGGATAATAATTTCGGATATCAATTTCGTGACAATTATTAGATTCACACAATATTCACAACGTATGCAACACGATGCTGTCTATTGACACTACTTCAAACTGAAGTGCTCACTACTCCTCTCCCGTTTTCATCTCCCTCTACCTTATGAATACTCTGCATTACTGGTTTCGTTTCTACCCTTTCCATTGCTGCCAGCTCCCAGTCTTTTTCAATGCACAGCACCACCTTGACAGTCATTTTTGTGATTTGATGTACACATACTTTGAAGTTCAAATTCGAATTACATGATCAGATTTTTGTTCCACATTTTCTATTTATTTTTACTTCAAGCACAACCCTACCGATGAAGGGAGAGAAGCAGCAAAGACACCTACTGAGTCTAATGACTGCCACTGTCAGTTCTCAAACAAAAACAATTTTTGTCGAATTGAAAAATCTCACCTGTTAGTGTTGCTCACTAGCCACTAGTGACTAGAGTTGTTCGTCCACGAAATTTGCAATATGCCACTACGGTACCAGCAAGAGTAGGTAAGTTGGCATAGAACAACAGCTATGCAAAGCCATGTTCATCTCCTCTTCACTTTGGAAGGCAGTACAAGCACCCTTCATACCTCGACATTGCCTTGGAGTGGAAGCAAATTCACCATGAGTTTTCCAATTCGCTACGATCGATCTCGGGGTGATGATCGTGTCTTCTTCATCACCACTGCAGCCTGGACAGCCTTCGGGAAGACATGTGTCACTCTCCTGCTCAACAGATTCCTACATCTAGATTTGGTTATCGTCAGGGAACGAAACAGAGCTGCAAAACACCAAAGTAATTGTTTTCTTCCATTCAATTACACTGCTGAACATGCACAGCATGGTGACAGCTAAGCAGTACGCACGTCATCAAGGCCAATTTCCAAATATGGGAGGTGTTATTTATGAAATTTGACACAGTTCCTCTTCTCTGATCGGCTCGAGACATAGCTCATCGGAATCAGTGCCCAATTCTCCTTCGGATAAGCCATACTTATTTTTGGCGTTCAGTTTCCCTTTAAGTAAGTAACAGTTTAGTATACTTCAAATTACTTGACCAAGTGGTGACAACGGTGCCAACGCATATGGCCGATTGGTTTGCAGGCCTGCCTGCGAATCATGAGGTCCCGAGTTCGAGACCCGCGCTGGTAGCAGGGAGCGTGTAAAGACTTTTTACGTGAGTAAAGACTCTTTATGCGTGGTGAACTGCGCCGACACCCACGGTCAACTGGGTACTCACAGCTCGGAGTGAGGGTAACAAGGATGCAGTTTACAGGGTTATGGGCCGTTACACGCCCGATTGGTTGAGAGACTCACCTACTCTCCCCTGACTCACTTGTGAGGTCTGCATTCGCCACTCAGGTGTGCAAGGCATAGGCATAGTGGTGGCCTGCGGAAGCGAAGGCTAGTTTGTGTGTTTCTGAACATTCAAGCGATGCCAACGCGAATCCCGCGAATTATTATTATAAGTGGTGACAAACAAAAGTAATTATACTGTAGTTCAACTGTTGCGTCACCTGCACTTGTCGTGTTTCCAGTAGCAGCAAAGTAACCTGCAGTGACTACTGAGTGAACACAGTTACAGCATCATTTTGACTGAGGAGCGCGCGAGCGGAGCGAGACTATTAATTTTATTTCAAAATTTAATAAACTGCTACCTGTCGCCGAGTTCAAGTGTAGTTTTCGCTTTTTAGAAAAGGAGAAGCCGTAGCTGATATTTTGCTTGGCCACTGCTGTGCCTGTACTGTCGTCCGGCTTTACATGTACAGTATTATGTAGTCGCCCGCCAAGAAGCGATGATGGGTGCCTCTGTTATTTCTATCGCAGCGAGCGCTGATTTCTTTTACAATTTTAGTTCCTAGACCAACCAACTCGATGGGTTCGTTTCCTTGTCCTTGTTTCGACGTCAAGACGCGACTTTTGTTTGTCACCTCTTGGCCTTACTACTACTAGTACTACGAGTATTAAGGCAGCGTGACGTAGGCACTTCGACAGCCTATGCCGCCGTCCATCCCATCGTCCTCGTCCTCGTTATACTTGTAAAAAAGAGAAGAAACACATGAGAACGAGATATGCAGCAACTATCCGCCACTGTAACAAGATGATAAACGGTCAGAAAGGGCGATAATAGGGCACAAAACTGACAGGCTACTGAGACATTCAGCGACCCGAGACCTAGCTCTAACACATCTCCAGTGCGCAAACCAACAGCCTTCCAACTTGGAAGGTTCATGGTTTATCGTTTACCGTTTACCGTTTATCATCTTGTTACAGTCGTGGATAGTTGCTGCATAACTCGTTCTCAAGAACGTGGCACCTGTGAAAGGCAACATACCGGTACTTTCAAAGTTTGTCATAAATCAACCTCCTCAATGTTATAAGTGTCATTGTGACTCAGTAACACACGTATACATCGCAGTGTTTGCGTTGCTGTTGGAAACTTGGCGCTGAGCATGATATGTTGGAAACTTACAAACGTACGGGTAAGTGGGTAGAAGCTCCGATCATTGCCACATTCAGTTCTCATGTGTTTCTTCTCTTTTCTACATTTTATCATTATTATTATCATTTTATCATTATTATTCATTTTATCATTATTATTAGGTTGAGTTGGGTAACTCCGCTCTTCTTCCTCGCTCACCGGAGGAATTTCTCTAGTCTCCTCGCGCAACTGGGGAGCACTCCAATGGAGAGAGAAAGATTTTTATAGGGCGGCTTGGTGTGAGAGGTGGACTGAGACTTGCCGTGACGGCGCTAACGGCGAATATCAAGACCTTACGGCCACGGAGCTGCGGGACTCTGCGCTGGTCGTCTATCCGTGTGGAGGCAAAGCAAACGCGGGCAACATTCTGCTGAAGCGAGCGTGGAGCTGAAGCTGGATTGGTGACTGACGTACCTGCTTACTCCACAACACCGGCGCATAATGATGTGCATGTACAAGACTTCGTGAGTATTCAACTCAAATTCGTGTTCCGTCAGCGTCAGTATCAGCAAGTACAGTCATGCAGTACAATTTGTTCTCAAAATAACTTCGGGACAGTCTGTTCATGGTTTTCATTTGTATTGGACTCGTTCTCTACGCTTGCGATAATTTAGCGGCAATTCTAACGTTGTAGCGTTGTTCTCTTGTAATTTAGTGGAACCTGTATTGAGTAACTGAGTTTTATGTTTCGTTACATTTTCGTCAGATCTCCTGTGTACCGGTTTTGTGGCACAATGATTATAGCCATTATATTTGGTCGGCTCCATTCTTGTGCAATCATGCATTATGTAGGTTGGTTCTCTTCATGTTATTGTGACCAATTTCTGATGTTGGTTGCCTTGTTGCTTTCTCTCCCCTCTCCTCTCACCCAAGCCATTCTGCATAAGCGAAGCTGTGGACGCAGCATACTGCTGCTACACTTCAACGCGGGAATGCGTATAATAATAATAATAATATTATTCACACATATCCGCCGGATGAGTACGCGTGGCCCATGCACCATAGTGACCCACGAATACAAATCAGCATATGTTCCCTGAGCAATACAAGCAAGCAAAGAAGGTGCGATACTTTAATAGGGCACAAAACTGACAGGCTACTGAGACATTCAGCGACCCAGTGCGCAAATAGTCTAGTCCTCCGCGGGTAATGCTCGCATTGTAACTGGCATTACGAGCATCGTTTTGAGAACTAGCAATGCTCCAGCATTGTACCCGGATTTGGAGCAAAAACAAGCATTATACCATGGTACGGTAAGGAGGGCCTGTTTTCAGCCAATCAGCGCTCGTCGGTTATATTGGCCAGTATAAATCTCGCGCGGGATAGAATCTAAATCCCTGTGCACGGTACGTACGGTAGGGCACTGCCACCGTACATGTTCACTGCCTGAAAGGCAGTGAACATGTACGTCGGCAGTACTCCAGCGCACGGACCATACAGACACAACGGACACCACATGCACGTGTACTAGTACAATCCACACAGAACGGCACACTGACGAGGGACAGTACAAAATGGAAAAGAAGAATGACCTGGAATTCGTCTACAGAGTATTATGTTATACTGAATCTGAGGATAAAGAACGTCGAATAACCACGAAGTATCCCGAATGGGTCAGCAATGTACATTGTACTTCGAAGAGTTGAAGATCATCAACAGACTGTCTCCTTCGTAAATAAGTTTATAATACCAGTGTACATGTACTTCAACCCGATTGGAAAATGCTACAATAGATTGGATTGAAATGTGATACAAAACAGTGTATGCAAATGCATCTACTTGCAAGCAAAACTGATTATAAGATGCCGCATGTGAAAATCAGCACTGTACCATAATTATAGTAACACTTACTCCCAAAGAGTCCAAGCTGTAATCTAACTAGTGATGGTAGTTTGATTCAACGACAAACTCCAGCACCGCAGCAATTCAGTCGACTTCCGCACCGCTCACGACTCAAGACAAGACTGATCATGAAGATGCTACAATATGCACTGGAACTGAAAGGAAATCTTATGCCAAACATCCACGGAGGAATCTCCTTCTGATCTTGCTCGACCATTCTTTCAATTGACAACTGATAACCATCAGAAGATGTTCATGTACTGCATGATGTAGGAGATCTCCAAATAGGTTCATTGTTCTGGAAATGCGTAGGGGTACCTGGCATAAGTAGGATATGACCCTCGTAGTCGGGTTATACCGTACCCTCATATAAATCCCTCCTGCGATCGCAGTCGGGATTTATATTCAGCCGGTATAACCCTCTGACTCGGGTTATATCCTCTACTTAGAGCCCAAAAGTGTCATTTTCTCACTTCGTGAGTGTGCATTACTGAACAGAACAGGAGCTCTACAATGTAACGTACACACTGTACTTTGTACCAGCGGCTTTTGGCAGTTTTGCTTAAACGTTAGCCTGCGACTTCGCAACATGCGTCTCTTGTTGTGAATCTTAGTGGCAGCTGCTAGGTATAGACGTACCACGTTGATGCCATCATGGGAAACGGAAAGAAACCTTGTCTTTCCTATTCACAGAGTCATGCAGTGCTGGCTTGCTTGCACCATGAGTACATCAAATGGAAATGTGTTGGAAGTCTCTGATTCTTCGCAGGAAGAGAGTGAGGAAGATGAGTACGAGACAGAGGAGGATAATAAGGAAGACGAGAACGAAGCAGAGGTGGAGGATGAGCCCGGTGAGGCATGCGCACGACTGCCCAAAGCCAAAGGAGCAAGCATATCGAGGGTTAGATCACTTATATTGTACTTTTTCATACCACACAATATACTAAATTTCCAAAATAGCATTCCGTATGCACCCTCAAAGTACTTTGAAGACTGTCGACGTAGGGTTCTTATTTACTGTTATTCACTTCTAGTTCATGATAGCAACTTCAGTTCCACATCATTTTGAAATAGCATAACCATGTAATCTACTTTCAAAGTACTAGGTACTTCCAATAGCAGTATTCCGTTCAGTGTGACTTACATTATGACACAATGCCATATGAGTGGTTCACATTGCCTTTTCAACTAGCATTACAAGTCCAAATTAGCATTCTAACGAGCATTATATGACCGAATAACTAGCAATGCTAAAAG